AGCTTGCCAACCAAAAAAGTAAAGCCTTCTAATGATGTAACTGACTTCTCGTACCTATTTGGTCCATTGTTAACATATATCATCCATCGTATTATGACTGAAATTCTTAAAATCCTATTTTATGCCTCCTCTTTTCCCAATCCCACATAATAGCGTTCGTCTCCGTGGGTCCTACCCAAATACGCTTCCATTCAATGTTGTCTCTTTAGTAAGTGATAATATCCCCACAACTTTGGGACCACAGTAACTCTGTTTTCCACCCTTTACTTCTTCTTACAGCTTAATTTTCCACCACCAACTCTTCCTTTTTATAAGTAGTGATGTGCGAAACCTCCATCTTAAAAATACGCATAATATAGTCTCTCTCAATGCAAGATCAGTCGTGCAAAAAGTGGCACGACTAAGAGGTGTGGTCTTTGAGTTCGACCCAGATGTATTGTACATTGCAGAATATTGGGCTACCTCTCTAATGTTACGCTCGGCACTTAATATAAATAGCCTCAGTTTTTGCCGCCAGGATGTTGTTGAAAGACGCGGTGGCGGTTGCCTTCTTTACATAAGGGCCTCGCTTGCACATTTGCCTTATGACCTGAACATTTCTTCCTTCTCTGTAAACAAATGTTTCACTTCAGTCATCCTTCCACAAAACAGGAAAGCCTTAATCGGATGTGTATATAATCCTCCTGGTTACTCCGGAAATGAAAGCCAACATTGTGTACTCCATGAAAAAATCGCAGAGACTTAATTTGCGTCACGATAGTCGTAGGCGATTCTCATTTTTCAGAAAATGACTGGCAGTTAAATACTTCCTCTCCTACATTTCAGAAACTTCTAGACATTATCCACATTTTAAACTGGTGTCAATTAGTCCACTCTTCGGCTAGAAGCGACAGTGTATTAGATTTAATTTTTACTGACTACATCTCCTCTCTATTAATGGATTTCCATCGGACCTTTTTAAATGTGATCATGCATTAATTCATTGTCATATTCCAGTTGCCATTTCCGCCAAGCCAACAGTAAAACGCACCTTTTTGACTATGCTACTATTAACAAGGGACTAGTAAACAACTTTACAAGCACTTTTGATTGGCACAATTTTTTAAAATAGTGATCTTAATTTTTCTGCTATTTATTACATTGCGTAGCAGAAGGTCTTCTCGACCTTATTCCAGGGAAGAAGTTTAAATCGAGTGCCATTTCCCCCACTGTCTAAAATTTTCTTAAAAACAGACTAAACAAGCTACGGAAGCAGCTTAAAGATCCTTCAGTGAGCTCATTATCAGTTCACCTAAGAATTGCTGAAATATTTGGATCGGCTTCGAAAATGAGGCTCGCGCCAGATAGATGTGGGGAGTATTTAGCTATTAATGGCGTGAAGGCTTCTAAATCGGTTGTTCAGGTCTTCCGTCAAAGATCATCAGCTAAGTCCCACTAAGTCATTTCACCTTCGCTTAGTTCGAAGAAGACCTTCATAACAGAGGAGCCAGGCAAAGTTGACATGTTAAATTCACTTTTTGCCGTCGTGAGTGACCCAATCCCTTCCATCCCTTCGTTGTCTGATGCCACCTACATCATCACTTCTTTTTTTTGCCTGCAAGTAGACTATTGTTTAGATCCCATTGATTATTTCACCCAAGTTAACACGTCCACTTTGCGCGGCCATCCGCAGAAACTACGCGCAGGGAAAGCAAGGATAGATGGATGAAAGTTCTTTTTCAGTAACAGAGTGGTTGCAGCGTGGGATCCCTGCCTACCGATGTTGTAATCTCCTCCTGTGTGAATTCCTCTAATTGTAGACTTGACGCGTATCAAGCTTCCCAATTTCCAGCCTCACATCCACTCACATAACCGGTTCCAACGTACGCACGTTTATACTACTTGCAGTTAGTGAGTAACCGTTAATAATTACCCTTTTTCGACTAGCCGGCAGCTGTTCGCAATTATGCACAAAATCTCTTTTTTACCTTCCCACATATCAATGATTTTCTCCGGCAACTTGTAACCAATAGGGAATTCAAAGGCGCTCCCTAATAGTTCTCCTAGCAAAAGTAAAATTTAAACTGATCAGTCAGCTTACTAACTCGCACTCAGTAGGAAATGATGACAATCTGAACTTTCTTATAAAACAGCTGAGATTTTCCTCCTCCGCTTAGCAAACTCTTTCTGGTTTTTCCCGAGAACGGTTTCTTTCCTGACTACTGGAATACATCTGTTATTAAATCAGTATATAGGTCTGGCTGTCGTTCTGATCTTCGGGACTATCGAGATGTCTATAAAACACCTTCTCTCGCCAAGATCTTTAAATGATATATCACCATAAAAATTACTGACTTTTGTATAGCCAATCAAGTGATCAGTCCTTCCTAACATGGCTCTTTACCCAATCACTCTTGTGAAATACGTCATATGTCGATTCTCAATCTACTGATTCCTCTTCTTAATAATCATTTATCTATTGATGTTTTTTATTTTGATCTTAATAAAACCCTTGAAAAAGTGCAATATTGAAGACTCTTAGTTAAATTAAAAGCTGTGGGACTTCCCACTCCCCTTATCGACCTCATCAAGACATACCTATCTCGTTGTAAACTAAGGGCTTTGTGGCGGTCAAGGATGTGAGATCAACTTAAACCACGCACAATAAGTTCGTTTCGTCTAATGACAGAAGTCAGGGAGCTGTGAGGACTAGTTTATTCTGTACACAGGGCAGGTTGCCGTACGTTGGCTGTTTGCTTGCAACAGAGAAAAGCGTCCGTTCACGGAAAGCGTCAGTCGCGGTGTGTAGTTTACGCGGGAGGGAAAGTCTGTGTCCGTAGGTGGGGATGACTGGTTGGATGCTGGTCATGAGATTGGACTGATTAGGGGAGGATTAGGGGGAAGCATAATTATAGGGGCTCACGGGTATCAAGCCAGGTCGTCCGACGCGCATGAGGTGATAATAGTTTGTGAGGGCAGTCGGGGGTCACTGCAGCTGGACAGGAGGGAGGCCCAGTTCTAATCGGCGGGGGTGGTTGTGTGTTAGCGGCCTGACAGCGATTGTCGCGGCCATCGACCGACAAAACGGAGTCGGAGAAAAGGGGGACTGGAGCGACTGCTACAACGCCCCCCCCCAGACACCAAACGAAGTGAAGGCGTCGACATGCTAGCCAGCCACAAACCTGTCGGGCCAGTGGACGTGACGTCCAGATCACGTGCGGCGAACTGGAGGGGGGCTGTCGCCAGTAGGTGGAGGCATCACCGTTTGCGGCGGGGTACAGTGTTGGGGTGAGAAATGGTCACTGTCGTCCATGAACGCCGGCTTGACGCGATCAATGATGACTGTGTCGGTCTTGCCGTTGCGGTCGATGACAACATCTTTGTCAGGTCGACGAAGGACTTTATACGGCCCGTCATAGAGTGGTTGGAGTGGCCGCCGGACAGCGTCATGCCGAACCAAGACGAAATTGCACTTATCCAGGTCGGAAGGGATGAAGGAATTGGCCGGTGACTCCCTAGGTGGCGTAGCGCGGAGATTTCGCATGACAATACGTAGCTGCTCCACACAACTGCAAGGTTCAAAAAACGTTAGCATGTTTGAGGGAGACACTAACTCACCGGGCAGTCGTAGGGAGGTTCCGTAGACAAGATCAGCCGCAGTGCAACCGATGTCGGCCTTGAGAGTTAAATGGAGGGACAACAGCACCAGGGGAAGGTGATCAAACCATCGGGCTGGGCCATAAGGGAAGTCTTGAGTTGTCGATGAAAGCATTCGACGGGACCATTTGCTTTAGGATGGTACGCTGTTGTTCGGATTCGGTTGGTTCCGAGAAGGGATGTGAGTTCACGAAACAGTGTGGACTCGAATTGGGATCCGCGGTCAGTGGTGACAGTCGCAGGAACTCTAAAATTGGACACCCAATGAGTCAAGACAGCTCTTGCTACGGTTTCGGCACTGATGTCCGGAATGGGCGCATCAACCGGCTACCGAGTAAAGCGATCAATGCATGTCAGCATATAGGTAGAACCGCTAGATGGTGGAAGCGGACCTACCAGGTCAATGTGCACATGACTGAAGCGTGCATCAGGAGCAGCGAAAGTACCTGGCGGAGTAATAGTATGCCGATGCGTTTTGCCTCGTTGACATGGTAGACAGGATCGGATCCAACGCCGTACATCCCGGTTGATGTTGGGCCAGACAAATCGGTCAGTGATGAGTTTAACTGTCACCCGGACTCCAGGGTGGGATAGATTGTGAAGGGCGTTGAACACTTGTCGTCGTAAAGTTGCAGGGACAAAGGGACGTTCATGTCCGGTAGAAAGATCACACGTTATGGTGCCTGTGCCAGTGGGAAGGGGGACATCTTGAAGGCGTAAAGAAGAGTCCTCGTGGCGGTATTGGGAGAGCTCGTCATCCGATCGCTGAGCCTCAGCTATGAGTGTGAATTCAATGGCGTCTGTTGTGATGGAAGCCATCTCGATTCTTGAAAGAGCATTAGCAAACACATTTTCCTCACCGTGGACATGTTGGATGTCACAGGAAAACAGTGAGACGAAATCAAGATGACTGATTTCACGGGGCGAGTATCGATCGGGAGAGGCCCTCAGTGCAAAAACGAGTGGCTTGTGGTCTGATAGAACAACAAATTCACGACCCTTGATGAAATGGAGGAAGTGCCGGATGAATAGATAGACGACAAGGAGTTTTCGGTCGAAGACACTGTAGCGGGTCTCTGCTGGGCTGAGCTTCTTCGAGAAGAAAGCCAAAGGCTGTAGAACACCACTAACAGTTTGCTGAAGTGACGCACCAACGGCAGTGCTGGAAGCATCTGTCATGAGAGTTAGTTGGGGATCTGAGCGAGGATGGGCAAGCAATGTTGCGTTCGCAAGTGCGGCCTTGACGTCATTGAAGGACCTGACGGCCTCCTCGGTCATCACTAGTGTCTTCTTGGAGTGGGTCAACAGGCTGTTGAGAGGCTGCAGTATGGTGTCACCATGGGGAAGAAAACGGTGATAGTAGTTCACCATCCCCAAGAATCGGCGTAAGGGTTTATGGTTGTCGGAACGGGGAGCGTTGATATGGCCGAAACGTTTTCTGGGACGGGCTTTATCCCATCTGAGGTCACTTCCTGACCAAGGAAGATAAGGCTGGGGACTCCAAACTCACATTTAGCAGCATTCATTACAACGCCGAAGGAGTCAAGCCGTTCGAAGAGCTGTCGAAGATGAATCTCGTGTTCAGCAGCGTCAGAACTAGCCACTAGCAAATCATCAATGTAGGCGTAGACGAAGTCGAGACCTCGCAGAACCTGATCAATGAATCGCTGAAAGGTTTGAGTGGCATTCCTCAGTCCAAAGGGCATACGGGGGAATTCGAATAACCCAAATGGGGTGGTCACTGCGGTTTTCGGCACTTCACTGGCTTCGATGGGGATTTGGTGGTAGGCACGCACAAGGTCAATCGTGGAGAAAATTCGCTTACCGTGCAGCGAAAGAGTGAAGTCTTGCATGTGCGGGACGGGATACTGGTCGGGGACAGTCACGGAGTTCAACGCCCGATAGTCACCACACGGTCGCCAGTCGCCGCTCTTCTTTGGGACAAGGTGGAGGGGTGATGCCCAGCAGCTGTCGGACTGTCGGATGATGCCGATTTCGAGCCTGTGTTCGAAGTCTGCCTTGGCAATCTTCAAACGGTCCGGAGAAAGACGACGTGGTCGGCAAGATCTGGAAGGTCCAGTGGTGGAAATGTGGTGGGTGACTGTGTGTTTGATGTCCACTTCACGAAGTGACGGGTTGGTCAGGCGGGGAAACTGCCTGAGCATTGAGTGGAAAGGACAGTCAGAGATGGCATAACAGTGAGAGGGTTGACGCAGGGGTTCACACCGAATTGACAACGGGCATGAAGGTTGGTGATACAGTCGACGAGTCGGCGATTCTTCAAATCAACTAGTAGATTGAAGTGAGCTAGGAAATCGGCACCTATGAAGGCGACGGAAACGTCGGCAATAATGAAAACCCATCGGAAAATTCGACGAAAGCCCAAATCAAGTGTGACGGAACGCTGTCCAAAGGTGGGGATGCTGGAGTTATTGGCAGCTGTTAGATAAAAAGAGCTGCGGCTTTTGCGTTTTGCCGGATTCGGTGGAACCATGCTAACCTCGGCACCAGAGTCGACAAGGAATTTGGCGCCAGCAATACGGTCCCAGAGGAACAAACGGCGAGTGTGGAGATTGGCAACGCTTGCAGCAGCAGTGGCCTCTGGTGTCGCGTGGGATCGTCTTCATGAGGACGTTAGAGATACCTTTAAAGAACATGGCTGATGACATCGTCGAGCTGCTACTCAAAATTGTTGGTGATACCGGCAGAGGCTAGTTGGAGATTGTAGACGGCGGGTGTGGAAACGGAGGAAGTATAGCGACGGTTTTGTTTTCGCCGCGGGCCGTTAGTGGTAGATGCAGTAAGCTGGGCTTTCAGGCGCATTTATACCTCCTCGAGCCGATCCAAGCGTACGCCAGCTCCTTGAGAATTTGGGTTGATCAGTGGCTTCTGGTCTTGGGACATCGCGCTGTAGGTCTCCAGAAGATTGGTGCTGTGGACGAAATGTTTGCGGAATTCCAGTGTTCGGAAATTCGGGGTCACCAATTTGTGGCGGTCAAGGATGTGAGATCAACTTAAACCACGCACAATAAGTTCGTTTCGTCTAATGACAGAAGTCAGGGAGCTGTGAGGACTAGTTTATTCTGTACACAGGGCAGGTTGCCGTACGTTGGCTGTTTGCTTGCAACAGAGAAAAGCGTCCGTTCACGGAAAGCGTCAGTCGCGGTGTGTAGTTTACGCGGGAGGGAAAGTCTGTGTCCGTAGGTGGGGATGACTGGTTGGATGCTGGTCATGAGATTGGACTGATTAGGGGAGGATTAGGGGGAAGCATAATTATAGGGGCTCACGGGTATCAAGCCAGGTCGTCCGACGCGCATGAGGTGATAATAGTTTGTGAGGGCAGTCGGGGGTCACTGCAGCTGGACAGGAGGGAGGCCCAGTTCTAATCGGCGGAGGTGGCTGTGTGTCAGCGGCCTGGCAACGATTGTCGCGGCCATCGTTCGACAAAACGGAGCCGGAGAAAAGGGGGACTGGAGCGGCTGCTACAGTTTAAGTGGGATCTTCGTTTTCCAATAAGAGCTCAATCGTAAGTGATATCCTACAAGGTGCCATATTTCATTCTCTTTTTCTTCTCGCTTTACATTAAGGACAACTCAGCAGCAGTCAAACATTTCTACTGTTTTTCTCATGTTGATGATCTTAAATGCGTACATTCATTAAATATATCTACGTCCCAACATTGCCTGGAGCAAGTCTATGCGGATTTGCCCGTTCTTTCCGCGTTTAGCCCAAAATGGCTAATGGAATTCTCTCCGCCTAAATGTCGCTTTATGTGTTTTTGACCTGGTAGTCTACCCCAGTCAGTGGTCTTTCTAGGCACGCCTATGGCTGAATCTATTACCGTCTAGAACTGAACTCTAAGGTTCACCAATAATCTAGATCACTCGCCACATACCGATAAAATGCAATTGCTATTTGGAATAAATTACCAATGAGTGTGAACACTCTGCAAAATTATCCTTTATTTAAGAGAACTATTACTCGATTTTTGCATTCAGAAAAGCTTTCTCAAATTTTGGGTTCTGAATCCACTGATCGACTGTACCTTAGCGATGGCGTTTGTGGTCTCTGAACACTATGGCCGGTCTCACCAACTGTTCCTCAACGCCTCTACTTTGACTATCCCCAACTTCATGAAAGGAATTGACGTCCGATAATCCCCGGTACCGTGCAACCCCCTCGCCCACTTCTTGACGGTCGAAAATCTACCGCCAGCAGTTTTTTTTTCTCCTGAACCCTCCAAACCATAAAAACAACCATCAACTTTATTTTTATTATTCAGGCAATTTTTTTCACTGCTGGTCGGATTTGCGTTCAATCGCTTCCCTTGACAATGCCTGTAAACTGGCATTTAATAAATTAAATTAAATCACGGCCAAAGCTGCCGAGATTCGTGGCTTCATTTCCTACAAGTTCTATCGTATTGAAACCACGTTAAGACTCTGTCGGATGTTTGTACTTCTCATTCTCGAGTATTGATGGCCATTCTTTTGTTTGATGGAGGAAGCTAATCGACAAAAGTTTAGAATCTTCAAGAACATTTTACTAAAAGACACTTAGGTACGGAACATCTAAATATTTCCTGCTCAGCTAGATGTCAGATTATAAACCTAGATTTTTATGGGCTCGGAGCAGAATTCTGTCTCCTCTTTCACGTTATTTATGATCCAAATCTTCATCGAATTTGAGCCCTTACCTCTAGAACTCGCCCATACAACTGTCGCGGTTTTTCCTTGATTATCCCTTCGTCCGCTTACTCCACGTCTAAGCGCTCTCTCTTTTTCGCTTCCAGGTATACGTTCCTCAGGAATAAACTTCCAATATATATATATATTATCATCAGATGATTTTCATACTTTGGGGTGGAGGCTGCGCCTTTATTTGAATACTGACACGATCAAACTGGTACCATCCTTATCCTTTCCGAAAAACCTTCTCTATGACATTAAGAGAGGGCCATCGGGTATTTAGGACGCCGCAAAAACATATCGTGTTCGCTTACACTTTCTTCTCTGTGTGTGATTTCGCCTTCTGGAATCTCTCACCAGAAATTTCGATTTTTTCAACTTTTTCAGTCCATGTATCATGTCCTTCACAGAATGCGATACAACTACTGAAAAGCCCTTTTAACGACGCAGCAGAATCAAGTTGACGTGTACGCTCTAAGACACCTCGTTTCGCTAATCGCCGACAATTCTGAAATCTCCACTCTGGCCCGGGCGATTTCTAACCCTCACCTCCCAATCGCTGATTTTCGCGGATTCGATTTCAGTTCCTCACTTCGACCCAAAATGGTCTGTTGATGATCACGACGTGAATCCTCTGCTTTTGCCATTTGCTAGTAGTTTGATCGGTCCGCAAACAGATTTCAGGGTCACATTCTCCTCTCTACGCTTTGATGACCGCCCAAGCGCTAAATAGAATAGAATAGAATTGGTTTATTGTAGCGCCCCTTGGGCACTGTCAGGTCCCCTTGAACTCAGGAAAAAACCTAAAACAAACTCGTCAATTTCAACTGCACTTTGACTTCATTTGCTTCGGGTGTCTGGTTAGCCGAAAGAGAGCGAAATGAGAGTCTGTTTTAAGTTAAAAAAAACTAAGTTCTAAGGGAAAATGATAACAAAATTTTCAAAAAATAACGATATGTACAATATAAAAATTGAAGTTTGCAGTTTGGTCGTTTTCGGGGGCATGAATAATATGTCCATCATGGCAATTGAAGAACTTTTATATCGGCCTGACATTGAAATTATTTCTCTGTTGGGTAAATTTCGGTGTGCTCT